CTGGAAGCGGTAGTGGATACTTGTAAGATTCAAGCGCGTCGTTAAGACCAGTTGAAAAATCAGCGCAAATACGAATGCTATCATTTGGCCTTTTGATAACTACTATTGGTGCGGCCCAGTCAGAGTAATTGATGGGTGCGATAATGTCAAGATCTTGAAGTCGCTTAATTTCTTCTTCAACCAAATGTTGAACTGCGTATGCTACCGGGCGCTTAGATCGAAAAACAGGTTGACAGTTTGGTTTAATAATTAAATGTGCCTTAGTTTTATTACAAAGACCCATAGCATTATCGAAAAGTTCTGGAAATAATTTTTCCGGAAGAAATTTGCAATTTGAAGACTTTATGGAAACATTACTTGCCTGTTTTGTTGTTGAAATTTGGCTGCAAATAGCATTAAGCGTCATATCGCTAAGTCGAAAAGCAGTTATCCAGTCCAATCCGAATACATTCAAATCGATTATTGTAACAAAGCACGTAAGTGTTCTAATTGTGTCTTTTAACTGCACATCACATGTAAATTTTGCGTACAATGGTAAGTTTCCAGTTGCACTTTTAGCAGATTCTGGTTGTACTTCCATTGTATTTAAAATATTTAATTTGTCGAAATTAAATTTTGAAATGATAGTTATGTCCGATGCAGTATCAAATTGCAATTTGATTCGCACATTGTTGATTTTAACGTGGACATATTTACGCTGTGAAGCTGTGATGCTGTTCGTTGTGTATATACTGTTGGATCGTGGCTGTGAAAATGTTTTTGCTTTACCGTTGCTATTATTTTTGTTGTTGTTATTGTATTTTGATTTTGATGAATTTTTCGCTTTACAATAACCTTTTTTATGGCCTATGTTGTGACAGTCTTCGCATTTATAATTTTTGTATGGGCAGTCACGCACATAATGCATTGCTCCACAAAACCAGCATGGTGTTTTCGGTTTGTGATTGTTCTTAAGCTTATTTGCTTGTACTCAATTCACCTGATTTTCGTGTGATTTATTTTCTACCAGCGATGTGTCGGATTTTAAATTAATAATACGCTGACACTCGTTTGTAAGTTTTTCCAAGTTGATGGTATCAGCTTCTTTGTCCAGTTTGGTCAATATTCGGGTTCTTATTTCGAAGTCTGCTTCCGATTTCAGCCCCAATACGAACATTAAACACTTGAACTGGTCCAGTGACAGGCTATTCAATTTAAAATTTTCACAGTGTTTATTAACCTCGGCTGCGTACGTAGTATAGTCGGTATCTGGTGGTTTGGTTAACTGTAAGCAGCTATAGCGTAAGCTGAATTGCGACTTTTGGAGTCCAAACAATTGTTTCAATTTCTCCACTGTTGTAGTGAAATTATATTCACGTGGATGCTTAGGCAAAATAAAGTCCATATATTTATTATGTACAGTTGTACTGAGTTTCCTTAATAAAAGCCTGACCTTCGCTGCGTCATCAAGTTTGCTACTATCTACTAAGAACAAATCTTCATACCTCGTATACCACGTTTCAAATGTTAAGTTATTTTCTGGATCATATACAAATTCCGTGAGACTCGAATCTAAAATCTCCATTGTTTGCTCCGGTTTTTCTGTTTTCGGAACTGCTTCAGTATGCTTTTTCATTTGCAAACACTCTTCGAAAAGTTCACGCATTGCTTTCGTGTCTTTCGCACGTTGGTTTTGCATTTCTTTGAAAAATAACTGGAATTCTTGTGGATTCATTTTTTTTTTTTTGTGTGTGTTTCTATTTCTTTTTTCGCTATTTAGTTGTTGTTTGCCAAGAAAAACTCTTCTCCGTATATTTTTGGCGCCCAACGTGGGACACGAGAGATATTTGACAAAGTGAATATTTTAAAATGATATATTTTCATAAAAAACTTTGAACTTAATGTATGTGTTGTATTTTTAATAATAAAAAGTCGAACATTCTTATTTTCGGGCCGTTCTCGCCATTTTGTTACTTTGTTGCTGCCGTTCGTTCTACGGGTCTTGTAATTAACTGCTCACTACATATTGCATACTGCTTTCGTGACTTATACTGTCATTGCCCACTTAAATTAGTGACGTGCTTAAATAATATAATACTAATAATATAAATTATTATGGTGCTCCATTTAATTGTATTTAAACTAAATCTCGTGTTTAGTTCAAGGCCATCGTCGCCGTTTCGTTTTATAGTTTATTGCCGTTCATTCTACGGTGTTTTGCAGTTAGTCTGTCGCTGCTTGCTGCATTTGATTTAAGTCTATATATACTGCATGCAGCATTTATGTCAATCTTTATTGCTGTTGCTGCTCATCACTTACCTATCGATATCAATTATTACGTTGTCAGTTATTTATTGCTTGATGCATTTATTTCAGATTTGTTGCCGTAATTGCTGCATTTATTTTCTATATTATATTTAACATCATAATGGCAAAGAAACTTAAACAGTAAAGTACCAACACAAAAAAAAACATCACACGTATTAAAAATTATATCGAGTTCGCAAGGAATGAAGGAAATGTACTTCCCATGCTGAACTTACATGTCCCTTAGCGATTTTATAAGCTTACTTCAAACAAACATTAAACACGTCATTATCTAATGTTAATATCACTATACACCAATCAACATCGAAATTACCAGCGCTACAACTACCTTCATTTAATGGAAAATATACCGAATTCAAAAATTACGTAATATCTTTTTCGCAAATTTTTGATCGAGAATCAAAATTCTATTATCTAATCAGGAAAAATTTTATTATTTGCTGACTTGTCTGCATGGCCCAGCGTTAGAAACTGTTAACGCGTTTCAAGTCATAAATGAAAATTACTCGAAGGCATTAAATATATTGAAGGACAGGTACGGCAATTCAACACTCATTTTCATGGAAAACATATCAGCTCTTTTTGATCTTCCTGGTACTTCCAAACCGGAAGGTGATATGCTGCGAAGTCTAATCGATACTGCGTCAGCGATTTATAGTTCACTTCTATCATTGGGTTCTGAACGTGAAATTTCACAAGCAATGTTGATTCATATTGTGATGCAAAAGTGTGATCAAGGGACGAGAAGAAAGTGGAAAGAATCGTTGGATTTCAAAAGGCTGCCAAGTTGAAACAATTGTAGTGCCGTTTCAGAGAGACATTGTCAATATCTTCAATCTCTGGATAAAACATTTCCTTGTGAATCAGATGTGCGCACCAATGATAAATTCTCAAAAACAAAAATTCACAAATTTTATGCTTTTTCTTGCACTAAATCTTCCTGTATATTTTGTTCAAGTGCGAACCACAAGCTCAATGGCTGTGAACGGTTTAGAAGTTTATTAACTGCACAACGTGTTGTGGTTTAGAAGTTCGATTCACACTTTGCATCAATTGTTTGTCAAAAGGACATAAACATTCTAACTGTCCATCAACTTATAGATGTAAGATTTGTTCAGACCACCATCACACTTTGTTACATCATAGCAACACCTTCAATGATACAACACCTTTCAACTCAGTTCATCCTACTTCACAGTCATTAATGGTGTCAGCTACAGCTACTACTTCTAGAGACGCTGTGACACACACACATTTAGAGAAGTCATCGTCAAGTAATGTCATCTTAGCTACAGTGCTAGTTCTAACACAGGACGCGTCTGGATGCTATCAATTGGGTAGGGCTCTACTAGATTCGTGCTCACAGGTGAACTTTATCACTAAAGATTTCGCTCAAAAACTTCGCATACCCATGAACTGCTTGGTATTGAAATTAAAAATAACAGCATCGGAAATTCATCTACAAGGATTAAATCAAAGGTATCGACTACTATTAAATCTCGATTCACGGCATTTCAACTTCCATTGACATTCTGTAGAACATCACATATTGCGTATAAACCAGATTGTGAAATAAATATCTCCACTTCGAACGTACCACCAAATTTTAACCTTGCTGACGAACAATTTCACAAATCAACCCGTATTGATTTACGGCTTGGCACTGAAAGTTTTTTTAGTGTCCTTTCAGTGGGCCAAATCAAACTTGGATTAGGATTACCAACGCTACAGAAAACTATTTCGGGCTGGATTGTTTCAAGTAGATATGATGTTTCACAATGCGTTAATAATTCAACTTGTCTCCTTTCATAAATTGACTTTGTAGAAGAAAAGGTAGAACGTCTGTGGAAGCTAGAAGAAATCTCGATCACTCCAGATGCCTGGACTAGTGAACAACAAGTTTGTTACCATTTAAGGATAATCCTCAGTGTTTAGGCAATTCATACGGAACAGCGTTGCGCAGATTTATTATACAAGTAAATCTATTGTCACGGTTGCCTGAGCTCAAAACGCAATATGTTGCCTTTATGGAAGAATATCAAAAACTTGGTCACATGATTGAGGTAAAAGATCCAAATATTGATGAACCTCATTATTACATTCCGCAGCACTGCGTATTAAACCCAGCCAGCACCTTCACGAAATTAAGAGTCGTTTTCGACGCATCATGTCGAACCTCTTCTCAGAAATCTCTCAACGATATTTTGATGATTGGACCTACTCTATAAACTGAATTGTTCATCCTTTTGTTACGTTTTTGCTTATTTCGATTCGCTCTTACTGTTGACATACTGAGATTGTGTAGGCAAATTTTGATTGATCCTGAAGATAGAAAATTTCAGTACATTCTTTGGAGAAGTTCACCATCTACAAATATTCGTACTTTTCAGCTCAACACAGTTACATATGGAACAGCTGCTGCACCGTACCTTGCCACTCGATACCTATTGTATATAGCGCATCAGTATGTGAATCGATTCAAGATTGTAGCTGAAGTAGTCAAATCGTCATTTTATGTTGATTACTTATTGCATAATGCAGATTCCCTTTCTGAGTTACACCAAACACCATAAGATACGAATTGAAAGACAGCGAGGTTTCGAATTAGCTAAGTCGGTAGGATACCGCGAGTGATATTCTTTTAAAAGATTAAAAGGAAAGAACTTTTTATTTTAATAAATTAACGCGGTATCTAATAAAATATACATCCTTTCGAAAGATCGAAAGACTAAGAATAATATACTTTCTTGACCGTCAAAACTGTAACGTGAAAATAAATTAAAAATAAACTTAATAACTGTGTACTAATCAACAAAAAAATAAATCTTTTCATTAAATCTTAAAAAATTAAAATTGGTACAAAAAATAAATGTATTCTTTCAAAATATTGAAAACTTAAATAAAATCAATAACTTTCGAAAACTTATCAAAAGTGAAAATTGAATCTGTAAAATATAAGCACATTCCTTCAAATTACGAAAAGAAATTTTTGATAAACAAAAATACTGTGTTTTATGGACAAAGGTTTGCTCAAACTATCAAAAACTTTAACTTTTTGGCAGAAGATTGTCACATCAGTGAAGAAACAACATATATAATATTCCGTGGACAATAGATTACTCTAACCATCAAACACTCAAACCCTTTAGAAGACCTTGACCAACAGGAAAAAGTCATCATCATATAACAGGACATTCAAAAGGACTCCAACGGCAACCTACCAGAAGAAGAATACCAACCAAAAGAACATAACACCATATAAGGTAGTGATAA